AAGTGTTTCTTACTACTTGTCATAGTTGAATCCTTGAAATATACATGCAAATAGACTTTTGGTAAGATAAATTTTATTTTTCCTTTGGCTTTCAAAATACTGTCAAAAGGTGCTTCATCTTTTTTTAATTAATTATAATTATGGATGATATATTTTGAGAATGACAACCTTAATTTTCTATAAGGCTCTGTATTTTTCTCAAATATTTCTATCAGGTTGTTAAACAAATATTTAAGTGACCAGAGTTTCTTATTTTTAAAATCCTAGCAAATTAAAAAGATTTTGAGCCATATATTTTTAAAATCATGGTGGATAAGAAAGACAAGAGAAAATTTAAAGAAGTTGCCTGTGTCCCACATTGAGCTGAGATGTTGGCACAGGCCAAGCCAAAGCTGGTTCCCAGGCCTCAGCATCTTCCTGCTGTGCATGTGGTGGTGCTCAGCACTAAGTTACCAATTAGTATGAAAATCTCCCTTATTGTATCACACTCCCTAGTTAAGTACAACAAGGCCCATTGGTGAAGATTTCATGTGTACAGCTAAAATATCTCCCCCTGCAACTGCATCCTGGAGTGCTTCATTTAATGTATTGAATGAAACATACTCAAAGTTCCTGAGAACCATAGCAGTGAGTGTGAACCCCTTAACGCTCCATGTTCCTCATGCAGAAGTTTTACCATAGAGCAAATTATTGAAACTTTAGAATGTTTTCAAGGCTGTCTTATTTGTTCTAATTTATTTGTGCTGATACATGCTCTCAATATATAACTTGAAACTAACTATGTAGACGAGGCTGGCCTTAACTCAGCAGAGGTCTGCCTGCCTCAGCCTCTCAAGTGCTGGGCTTAAAGTTATGCACCACCATGCCCAGCAAATATATTCATTTTACATGCCTTTTCTCTCACTTAATGATATATAACCTTGGACAAGTCATCTATCCTTCAATGAGCCTTAATTTTTCTGACCACAAAATGAGGATAATGACTGTAGTCCTATCACAAGGTATTCACCAAATGCTGTGACACCAAAGTCTCTTCAATATTTACTGTGTACCAAGTGCTTTATTAACTGATATTACTAAAAATCGTGTAGGCTTCTCAGGCAGTATATATGTCAATAGTCTGCTTTGTGCCTGTAAAATTTTCACTTGTCAACTTCTTATTTTGAGTCCATATTCAATTTTATATTTGTAATTTTTCTTTTAACAAACAAAAATGTATTTTTTGGTTTTGGGTTTTTTGTTTGTTTGGTTTTGGTTTTTTGGGGGGGGTTGTTTTTTAGAGACAGGGTTTCTCTGTATTGCTTTGGAGGTTGTCCTCGAATTCACTCTGTAGACCAGGTTGGCCTCAAATTCACAGAGATCCACCTGCCTCTGCCTCCCGAGTGCTGGGATTAAAGACGTGAGCCACCAACACCCAGCCAAAAATGTTGTTTTTTTTTTTTTAGATAAAAATTTATCTTTTTTTCTATTGCCCAAGCTTTTCTTTCCTTTATGAAACTAAAAATAATTTTAAGTACTTGGTATTTTAAGTTTCAAAATTAGTCCCAGAGCTAGAGAGATAGTTGGGTCGTTAAGATCACTTGTTCCTCTATAGACTAGAGTCATCTATAACTTCATAACATTTGTAACTTCGTCTATAACTTCATAATATCTGTAGCTTCATCTATAACTTCATAATCATCAATAGCTTCAATTCCAGAGAATCCAGTGCTGCTTTCTGATCTCCTCAGGCATAGGCATGCACATACAGGCAAACACTTAAAAAATAAAAACAAATCTTAGAAATTTGTTCAAGTAACTATTTGTGTGCTTTATATTTTTTTAAGATTTTATTTATTTATGTATACAGTCTTCTGCCTGCATGCCAGCAGAGGGCACCAGATCTCATTCAAGGTGGTTGTGAGCCACCATGTGGTTGCCGGGAATTGAACTCAGGACCTCTGGAAGAACAGTCGGTGTTCTTAACCGCTGAGCCATCTCTCCAGCCCGTGCTTTATATTTTTATATATTGCAATAGCATTAAGCACATAGAACTGGTTAGCTCATTTTATTATATAAAAATTGTTAAAAGTTCTAAGAGTAAAGCAGAAAAGTATGTGCGGTTCAAAATGGGCTGCCATGGGCTTGGAGAGATGGCTCAGTGGTTAAGACCACTGGCAGTTCTTCCAGAAGACCCAGTTTCAATTACCAGCACCCACATAACAGGTTACAACTGTCTGTAACCCCAGTTCCAGGGGATCTGACACCCTCACACATACATGCAGGTAAAAACACCAGTGCACACAAAATAAAATTAGATAATTTTTAAAAGTAGGTACTCTTTAAGTATTTAAAATAGTCAAAACTTTGTTAAATGTTGGGAAAAAAGAGGCTAGGGACATGCTCAGTGGGTAAGGTTGTCTTCTGAGCTCCACACGCTCACTGTGACATATATGTATCTGAACTCTCTCAAACATATACACATATACATATAGATTTTAAAATGTTTGGAAACAATAATAGCAAAGCCAGGGTCTTATTTGTAGACAAAATTCTTTCTTGTAAACTCCTATCACTAGACACATGTGCACATGTATACACACGCGCGCACACACACACATACACACAGAATAAAATCTCTCAACATTGGAGAATCAATAATAAATTCAAAATTTCCAGTGGAAATATAAGATATTTCTTTTTATCAATATCTATATATGTTTTTAATAAATATTTAACAACAATGTGAGGTAACTAATAGTACTTAGTATTTTAGTAAGGAACAAATCCCATTTTAAATGATTGATTCAGAAATTAATATTAGTACTTATTATGCATAAATGTATTTCTTAATTTTATTTTGGCAAAATTTTTACTAAGAACTTCAATTAATTCAAAAAATTTATTTTATTGCTTAAAACGTTCTAAGCATCTTTAGCTAGTCAATTATTTTATATTGATGATAAATAAGTAAAGTGATTCATATGAATTGGTTTTATGCCTTCACTTTCATTCTCCAAAATGAAACATTAACAAGATCAAGATACTATCTAAGGAGTGAGGGGAAATGAGAGAGAGAGAGAGAGAGAGAGAGAGAGAGAGAGAGAGAGCATATAAGAGAGAGCCTAACACGCAATTCAATGGCAAAGAAGTTGATTTTAAAAACAGGCAAAGGACCTCAGTAGACATTATTCTAAAAAAGGCATACAAGTAGACAACAATCTATGAGGGGAAACCTCAAATATCACTAATCATTAATGTATTATGTATATTTTAATCATTTATGTATCATTATTTATATTAAAATCCCAGTGAGATGTATTATAATGGCTATTATCAACAAGATAAAGGGTAAGTACTGGTAAAAATGTAAAGAAAGAGAAATCTTTGTACACTGTTGGTAGATGTATAAATTAGAAAACAGCATGACAGTTCATCACAAAATTCAAAGTGCAAGTATTGTATCTACTAGAGCTACTCATGCACTTACAACTAAGGAAATAAATTCAGTGTATTGAAAGGATAACTGTATTCTGTGTCCATTACAGCCAAGATACAGAATCAACCTGTGTTATCGATAGTTAAATGGAGAAAATATGTTATATATACTAACATGTAGCAGAATACTACTTAATCTTGAAAAAGAATCCTGTTTTCTACATCATGGATGAAACTGGGGGACATTTAGAGGCTCTGTTAATACGTTAGGAGGGACTGGGTATACATATGCTGTCCTTCAACCCATAGTGAGATTCATCAGATTGGTAGCTGCAATGTATTTCATAATCTGGGGTCTTGGAGCATATCTAGCCCTCCTGAATAAAGTTAATTTACCCAGATGAAAATTGCATCCATTGCATTCACATACTAATACTGTATCCTGAAAGTTGGCCTAACCAAAACAAATGTGTGCTGAGGCAGAGCACTCTTACAGACTTGCCCCTACACAGTGTTGTTTATAGACATGTTCTTCACGTAACAGTAGAAAATGTCAACATTTCCTATGTTGTACCTGAAAGGGTGCAGTAACTTTATGAAACATACCCATGCTTTGCAAACCTTTGTCTCCTGGAGTCACGTTTGCTTTGTACAGAAAATTTTTCTTTTCTCCTGTTCACTCTGTTTCTGCAAGATAGGGACTTTGGAATCAGTGGCAGCTGTTAAGGAGCACATAAGTGTACAGAAATGTACATGTATTTTTGCTGAATCAACTTCTACTGATGTTACACACTAAGCAAATGGATGCTGCACTTCTTAACTTCACTCAGGTTTTCTTCATGCTTTCTGAGTTTTCCCTGAAACATCTCGCAACATTTATAAGGGATATATCTCAGGTATTCTTTTTAAGTCCCAAGTGCACCTTAAAAATTTATTTTACTGTTTTTAGAGTAATAAACAATGCTTGAATAGTATGTGAAATAATCTATATGTCCTCTTAAATCCATGCATTTATTTTTGCATCTTCTTTTAACAAAGGAAGTGGGTAAACAATAAATTTAGTAGATTATGCTGTTTGTCTTCATGTGTCCTAAAAATTCAAATTATTAAGTTATTTTAGCAGTTTGTTCTAAGAAAATTAAAACTTTGATGGAAGATGAGCTCAGGTGATCAGGACATTGATTTGGGAGTGTGTTGCTTAGCAGTTCATTAACTATGTGTTAATTATGTATGATTACTCCTGAAAAGCTATGGTGGCTTCATCTTTTAGGTTGCTTCATTAAATCATTAATTTTCTTGGATGTAACTAAGCCTGACATAATTAAGTCATCTCAGTCTCCACAGATTTTTATCCTCCCATAATGTCAAAAACTAAGGAATTTAATATAAGATAATGTAACTAACTCCCTTTCATATTGTCTTCATATTTTAGATTGCCTGACATTGATGTGATGCATTTTCTTTTATATTTAAACACTCTGATAAATTCATATTTTTAATTGTTTACTTACTGTTATAGAAAAGATATTTTACTTCCTGTGTAGTAAGACTGTTTATGTATTTGAACTACTTCTTACCAACAGTTCTTTGTCAGGAGACTATATGAAACTGCTTCAGTTCATCCAGAACATCATTTATACTGAAGGATTTGATGGATCTAATCCCCAGGTATGAGGACTCCAAAGCCTTCTTTAGTCATGTACCTATAGAATGTTGTTTTCAAATCTCTTGGACATGCTCGGAGAGGCTGAGAAAAATCAATAATGTACACCCTGTTTTCACAGACAGTATAAATGGGTAGGAAGTATTCATGTAAATCAGAGTTTTAACTTGGTTCTCAGGATGCACACAAAACAATCACGTGCTTTCTCAATGCTGATTGTCTTTAAATACCTATTAGTAGCTTCTAAGATTAATAAGTAGTTATGCTTTTTAATTACTTCTAACACTACAGGGTTCATATTTTTCTATTAAAATGTTCATATTGCTGTTATTCAAACCTTAATTCCACATTACCTTATGTGTAAGCATTATCACAAGACTTTATGCCTTGTTACATTACACTTTGAATTGCTTCATTTAATAAAAGATATATTTTTGCTATATTTTATAGCATAACTGTTCTCTGTACCTCTAATTTTATACTTTCTCCAAATTCCCAGTACTGAAGATGTTCTTCTGAGTGTAATTTAAACAAGCGAAGAAATTATATTGTTAAATATCATGCCTTCCAAAGATTTATCTCAGTGATTTGAACTGTATTTGACATTAAAAGATATATATTATTTTATTATTTAAAGATGTACATATTATTTTAACAAATGTATCTCCACAGCAGTTATTTTAATGGAGACGAGCTAGAAACTAATTTTTGGAATTTTTATCTGCATTTGCTGTTAATTCATTGGTTTTTAATTTTTAATCAATTTACTTGCTATTTGTAACAATTTCTCCATAGCAAAATAAATAATTTTTAATTGATTTTGATTGCCAGTTCAATAGCAGGCTTAAAATATTTATGTGTATCTGGAAAGTATTTATTTATAGATAGCTTTTAATGTTTCCCATAGTCTTTGTAGTGACCACTGGTATTTAATGCAGTTTTTCTTCATTCCTTATTACTGCAATTTTTGTTCTTAGCTGAGATTTATGGGGGCCATGTCTTCTTTTGGTGCCAGTGTGCGTCTGGAGAGGCAAATTGGTCCCTGACAGACACCTTTCTCCACTTGCAGTGGTAGCTATGGAAACAGGCATGTCATAACAGTTCCTGTGGTGCAGTGTGCAGAGCTGCTGCTCTTGCAGAATGATGACACCTCTTCTGAAAGCAAGAAATTTATAAGACGCAAAAAAGTAACAGAAATCACTTTACTCTTTGCCAAGGAATATATACATAAGCTCCTTAAAAACAAACCTCCTAAGAATACTTGTGTTGAAACAAATGAATATTGTTTACTTGTTTATTTTGATGTAGAAAAGCACACCACTTTCAAGAAACAATTGATTTATTCTTGAAAACTGATAGAAAATAAAATGGAGAGCATTTAGTTCCCTGATGGTGAGAGTCACTGTTACACATAACAGCTGACTTCCATAAAGCCAGACAGAGTTGAGTGAGGTAAACATTTCTATAGTGAATACCAAAAATGCTTAAAATTTTCAAATTAAACTTAAACATACCAATAAGTCATTATAAAAGTAAACTTCCTATTTATTAGAACTAAAGTATAGTTACTAAGTAACTAACTGATGAAGTGTGTTGCTTGCTACATTCCCTGGTATTTACATCTGTTTTAGAAACTGCAGACAAGTTCAGTCAGGAAAGGCAAGTAGTCCATGAGGTACTCCATTTAAGCAGTAGTGTTCTTGGTCAAAATAATGTTCTGATAGTGAACTGAATCCTAATTTTTAAAGGGAAATTTTATCTTCAGTGCACTTTCAAATAAATTGAACTAGTTGACTAAAACAGTTAAAATATATTCTATAAAGAACAATTATCTATTTTTTATAATCTGTAATTAACCTTGGTAGTAAGGAAATTGTATAGCTCATCTATAAATATATTTGGGTGGAAACATTTAAAATTGCTTCATAATATCATTTGAACATTGATTTTTTAACTTGGAATGCTAGATTAAACATTAGATGTTATGGAAATAAATGTATTTACTGTGTAGCTATCAGCTACGTTTTCTACTTTAAAAACTAACATCTGAGATAAATCGTTTTTTTATCTAACACAAGTGATTCAACTTTTGGTCCAGCAATTAACATTATATTTATGAAAATGTATTCTTTATGTTGAAGTGTTATGTTCATTTTTATTCTAATGTGCTGTGTACCAAGCACTTAAAGATCTTATCATTCATTCATTATTTGACACAGTGTTTTCGTTCCTTCTATGTCTATATGCTAGTACATGTCAGAGTCACTAAGCATTTATAATTTCTTATTCCATGTTTAAAAGCATTTTAAACATTTAGCAAATCCTTTCTGTTACAATTATAGGCAGAAGTGACCATGTGTCAAAAGACCAGTGATCTCTAGGTTCTAAATGATGCTCTCCTTCCTCTTCACATTTCATGTTCATATCTGTTTTACCTGTCTTTCAGTTGGCTGTTTATTTTGGAAATGTTCTATTTTATTGTCTTGGCAGGGCAATGCTAGAACTTGAACCCAGGGCATTGCACATACTAGGCCAGTACTGTCAGTACTAGCCACTAAGCCATGTCTCCAGCTTTTATTCCCTATTTCTATTTCCCCATTGTTCTGTCTATTGAGTAACTAACTTAGACCTATTATCATTAGATAACAAGTTTAGGCCTTTCATTTTTACCCATTTTCTTAAATTTAAGTTCTAAGTAATAGGGAAATGAAGTGTCATCTCACTTTTTTTTTTTTTTTACAGATACTGTACATAAACTTTCCAGGAACATACTTGTCCTTTTTAAAAATAATTGTAGTAAGGTTTATTTTATTTTACTGTGTGTGTATGCACGGGTGTGTATGTGTGTGAGAGACTGTTGCCCTCAGAAGCCAGAAGAGGGCATCAGATCTCCTGTAGCTGGAGTTGCAGCTGGTGGGGAGCTACACATGCAGGTTCTGGGAAGAGAAGCTGGGTCCTCTGCAAGAGCAGCACATACTCTAAACCACTGAATCCACTCTATACTGCCCCCATATTTGTTCCCCATGCATATTTTCACTTTATTTTTCTGGGTGATACACAAATACAATTAAGCACTTTTTAATGGACCAAGATCTTAACATATTAAAAGCTGAAAACTTTCATTTATACTAAATATATACATTTTTCTCATCCTTGGTCTCTATACAACTCAATATAACTATTATTTTTTATAATTTCATTTATATTATATTGTGTATTATAATTCATTAACGCAGGGATGACTTAAAGTAGATGGGTAGATATATATGTTATATGCAATTACTTCATTTTTGTATATTAAGGACTTGAACATACATAGGTTTTTGGAATCCAAAAATCTCTAGAATGAGAGCCCCCAGGTACCAGGAAGTTGGTGTAGGATTCTTTATCCTACACCTACTTCATAGTCCAAACTCCTCAAATGTTTAGATTCTTTTGTGCTCTCACCCTTTGTCAATAAATTATGTTTATACAGGGAATACAAGGATTTAATTTTTGTCTTCTCTATTGGGAAAATAGATTTGCTAGATTGAGTAATAATCATTATTGTTTAATAATTTTTAGTGCTCTCTTATAACAATAGTGAGTGATACATTTTAGGCCCTGTTTCCTCAGAAAGCTCATTTAAACTGGCACATATCTGAAATAATGGCTTTAAGAAATAAGGCCATATTTACTCCATCACAGATGTAATAGTGATCTTCTAAATACTTCAATATTCCATGTTTTGTGCACATCTCTTTCTTGTGCCCCAAAATATTGCTAAATTGCTAAGGAAAGCATTTACAAAACATTTGTTCAGTTAGAATAACCCAAACAGAAGAAATTGTAAACATATGTTGTCAAATACTTATTGACAAGTATCTTTGCCATTTTAAAATGTTTTCTTCCAAAACAAAAATATATTGGCACTATTATTTTAATCATAATATCAATAGTCTTTAAAAGTCATCTGCTAAGTGTTAACCTGAACTTAAATTAGGTCAGTAAAAACAACTTTATGGAAAAGAGGCAAATATAAAGTATAAAGCCAATAAATTTTAAAGTTGTAAACACCTTCCAAACAAAAATCTCACACAGCAGATGATAGAAAGAGAAATGTGGACTTCATGATTTATTGGAAGAGATGTAGAATTTATAATGCTAGGAGTGTATTTGTAAGGTTTTGAATTAACCTTTTTCTCTACCATCACCTCTAACATCTAATATTATTTTGGGGTTTTGCTATTATTATTGTTTGTTTGTTTTGTTTGCTTTCAGAGACAAAGTCTCATTCTATATACCTGGCTGACGTGCCCCTTCTTTTATATACTGCTCTGGCCTTGATCTTAGGGAGATCCTGTACCTCTACCTCCCAAACGCTAGAAATACAGGCAAGCACCACAGCACATATATTGTTTTAGCCATCTAAAACAGAATTCTTAGCCTATCACCTCAAATTTAGACAAAATTCAAATTTGATTATTGTCATGACCTTCAGTTTTTCAAAAAAAATGATATAAATACTCTCCATTTGTTGATAGACAGTGATTTGCTGTGTTGCTGAGCTGGTGTTGAACACCTATACTAAGTCAATTGGACTGCCCCAGTGTCCTGAGTGGCTGGGACTGTTGGTATAACAGACTGACTTTGTCCTACTACTTTCTTTTATACTCTTGTAATCTAAAGTATGCTGTTGGTATATGGGACTGACTTTGTCCTACTACTTTCTTTTATACTCTTGTAATCTAAAGTATGTTCTATATACTGTCTTCTTAGTAAGATTGCATCAGTTTGTAGCACATCTATTGTCTTCCTGATACTGTGAGTTTAGATAAGAACAAGTTGATAAAGAAGTGCTGTATTGATTAACAGTACCTATGTATTTACCTCCTCTCACTGTCTTTTAGAAAAAACAGAAAAACATTTTAAGAATAGGAATTCAGAACTTTGGTTCACCATTTTGGGGAGATGACATTTGCTGCACAGAAAACTCTGACAACAGTCACAGGCTTACCAAGTTCTTCTATGTTCTCCGTGGTCTTCTAAGAACCTCGCTGTCAGCCTGTATCATCACGATGCCAACACATCTGATCCAGGTAAGACCATGTTGTCTTCCTTATCCAATGGAGAAATGGAAGACAATGTGTCTTCAATTTTCATTTCCTTTATCGATAATGATACTGGCCATCGTTTTATGTGCTCATTTGGCTATTTGAATACCTTCTTGGTTTTGTTCATTTTTGTGGGTTAATCTTATTATCAGTTTGTAAAGTTCTTTATACTTATTTAATAATGTGCTTTGCAATAGTTTTCTTTCAGTCTGTGACATCCCTGTTCTTAATAGTCTTGTGAAAATACAGGGTTTAAATCTTGATGAGTTTCATCAATTTTAATTTGTCATCTCCCTTAGCCTTCAGTCTTATTGGTCTTGCCCTCTTTTAAGAGCTTTTCATATTTTCTTCTAAATATTTGGTACATATTTTTCTTGTACTTATGAGTTAATATATTCCTTTTTTAGTTTTTTGCATAATTTTAATTTGTGTTTTTAAACAGCCTCTAGCTTCTACCATTCTAATTATTCATTAAGTAAATGAGTGATGAAACTTCACTGTTCCTCTTTTTACTCTGGACCTTGAGACAGTCCTCTGCTGTACAGGAATTATAGATGTGAGCCATTGTGAGCAGCATTTTTTTTTTTTTTGCCAAAGGATTTTATCATCTCAAACTTAATTTCATGTGATCTTAAATATCTTATACATTATAGTTTTGTATGAAGGCAGGGTGAGACTTCATGTGGGTTTATAATAATGTAATATTAATATGAGCAAAAACTTTTGCTCATATTTTTTTTCTAGATAGATGATTAGCAAATGTGAGTTGAATGAATATTGATTCTTACTTGGAAAATTATTTCTAATACCTAATTATTGAAACTACGTATATGTTTTTATCCTGATGTACCTAGACCATTCCAGCAAATGATAAATGCACTAAAATATTGTTGAATTACATTAATTATATATAGTATTGCAATGTATCTCGATGCGATGACTGAAAATTGAGGCATAAATAACAAGAGAATTTCTACTCACTGGACAGTAGAATTTATTTTTAATAAACATGATAGGTTAACTTGGGTTTCCTTTACAGGCTTTTAATGGATAATTATTAAACATATTATGTTTTTATTATGTTAATAACAAAATATTATGTATGTATCTTTATATTATTACTATGATGATCTTGAATCTGTATAAATATTGTAGGGAAACCCCTTTCTCTAATAGCATTAGACAATACTGTGCACGCTTGTGATGTTTTCATTGTTCATGATGTTATTGTAAACTAAATACTTCAGTAGTAGCTTGGTTACACATGGTGAGCTTGATTTTGATGATAGATCTGAAACTACAGGTGAAAGTCCAGCTCTTTATGCTTGCCCTGCAGGTGTGTTGTGGTTGCATGTACAGATGAGGCACTGGCATCTCACAGCCTTTCTGTCCATGGATCTTTACCACAACCCCTTAAGATTCTTTCTTCTAAACTCTGCTCCCAAGGTGGTCCAGTTGATAAATGGCAAGGCCCATTTTTTTTCCTCAGATTCTAGCCCCTTCCATCTTTATAGTTACATCGCATAGTTTCTTAGCCATCACAAAACTCTACAACTTAGCTCTTGGCTAACACTGCTATTATTTATTATTTTTATTTAGTATTTTTAAAAACAAAATTATCATTGCAAAGTCCTCAACAAATTAGAGTATATGAAAGATTAGGGAAAAAGTTCCCTTCTTGACAAAGAACAAATATATGGATGTATGTTTTCTTTTGCAAAACTGTAAGTAAAGAAAAACAATTGTGAAATAATGATTTTATTTATTTTTAAAAGACTGAAAATTTTTTAAGGAAAAACAAAAGGCTATTACTTTAAAAGGTCCCATCCATTGTGATGTCTCTGACAGATACCCTTTAGCTTGTGTTTCAAGGAACAACAGTAATACTCTAGATGTTTTCATGTCAGCCCATCTATACCACAAGTCAGATGACTGAATGACAAGGACATGCACCCAGAGTTTAGAGACTTTTAAGCCTTTGTACAACATCGTTGTTTAAACTTATGCTTTTTTAACATATTAAAATAGAAATAACAAGATTTAAGGTCAGATGGGTGGTGTGTTTAACGTTAAGCTCCTCAGGATGGAAAATGTTCACAGTAAAACCACCCACCACCTTCTAATAGTTCTCGTTTCCCACACAGTTCTACAGAGCTTTCATACAGTGGCAGGTTTCTAGCCCTGCTTATCAACTGAGTTATAAAAAACAAACTGCCTTAAAAACTATATATTTGTTTTTGTATCAATACATTTAGCAATGTAACATAGCAATTTGCTCAATCAGGTATAAATAGAGAATAAAACTCTTGATACCTCACAAAGACTGGAAGGGAAATCACAAAGAATAAGAACTGGTAGCAGTTTGCTTAGCAGTTTAATCAGAAGTGCTGGAGAGGAGGCTTAGTCAGTAAACATGAAGACCTGAGTCCAGTCCTCAGAACCCAAGTAAAAAGCCAGGTACAATGATGCCCACTTGTAACTCTAGCACTGGGGAGGAGGATACAAGTGGATCCTCCTGACTTCTTCAAGCCCCTAATCCTGTTGTCTTTTCTCAAGGTACACATCAGATGTTAGAACTGAGCAGTGCCTCTCTAGTTACTGCTCACTTAGCCACCGTACTATGCTGCTTATTCTGTAAAGATGCTGGTGTAGAATCAAATTAAGGAAGATGGAAACAAAGCAGTATTCGATGATAAAAAGATAATGAGCTTTTGCAGGTGTTAATGATCAATAAATTACTTGGTCTTAGTTAACTTTCTGTCTTAGCTTTTTCATCTATAAAAATCAGGCCAAAAATACACAATTCAGAGGATGAGAAATACCACATACTGACACATACTAAGCATTCACTATATGTTAGCAGTCATCATCAACACTCTGTATTACTTAAGAGACCTTCAGAATTGATAATCTGAACAGAGAGATTTGTCAAAAATCAAAATGTTCAGTTTGTCAATGCAATAAAAGTACTGAGAGAGCAGCTCACAAGGAGGCACCTGCTTGGCATGCTAGAAACTCTGGCTGCCACAACTAACAGCAGAAAGAGAATGGAGATCTTCAGTTCCCTTACCCTTTTCATGAAAAACACTTGGTTGTATCCTCTCATGGATTAGGTTTAAGACAGACCTAGCTACATGGCTGTCTGTTTCTTAGTAGCATGAACTACACAAGACTCACATCAGTTTTCCACCATGATCAGTACTATTTCTGGGGTTTCTAAAACAGATTTTTTTTTTAGTTTTAATTTTTTTTAATTTTTTATATATTTGAATTACAAACAAGATTGAATTACATGACAATCCCAGTTCCCTTCTCCCTCCGTTCCTCCTCTACCACCCCCCCAACTAAAATCCTACCTATCATATGTCCTTTCTTCTAATCTACACCTGATTGAACCTTTCTGCTTCCTCATGACCGCTGCATCCTTCCTTTTCTTCCCTTCTCACTCTTGTAGCTTCCTCCCCCCTCTTCCCATGTTCTCAATTTGCTCAGGGGGACGGTGACCCTTTTCTCCTTCTCCAGGGGACAAAGTTTGTCTCTTTTAGCGTCCTCCTTGTTTACTAGTTTCTCTGGCAGTGTGGATTGTAGGCTAGTAATCCTTTACTCTATGTCTAAAAACCACATATGAGTGAATACATATCATGTTTGTCTTTTTGTGATTGGGTTACCTCGCTCAGAATGGTTTCTTTGAGTTCCATCCATTTTCCTGCAAATTTCAAGATTCCATTTTTTTTCTGCTGAGTAGTCCTCCATTGTGTAAATGTACCACATTTTCTCCATCCATTCTTTGATTGAGGAACATCTAAGGCTGCTTCCAGTTTCTGGCTATTACAGATAGTGCTGCTATGAACATTATTGAACAGATGTCTTTGTTGTATGAATGTGCTTCTTTTGGGTATATGCCTGAGAGTGGAATTTCTGGATCTTGTTGTAGAGTGATTCCCATTTTCTTGAAAAGTCACCATACTGATTTCCAAAGTGTCTGTACAAGTTGGCACTCCCACCAGCAGTGGAGGAGTGTTCCTCTTTCTCCACATCCTCTCCAGCATAAACTGTCATCAGTGTTTTTGATTTTAGCCATTCTGACAGGAGTAAGATGGTATCTCAGAGTTGTTTTGATTTTCATTTCCCTGATGGCTAAGGATGTTGAACACTTTCTTATGTGTCTTTCAGCCATTTTAGAGTCCTCTATTGAGAATTCTCTATTTAGTTCTGTACCCCATTTTTTTAATTGGATTGTTTGGTGTTTTGGAGACTAGCTTCTTGAGTTCTTTGTATATTTTGGAGATCATCCCTCTGTCAGATGTGGGGTTGGTGAATATCTTTTCCCAGTCTGTGGGCTGCCGTTTTGTCTTGCTGACTATGTCCTTTGCCTTACAGAAGCTTCTCAGTTTCAGGAGGTCCCATTTATTAATTGTTGATCTCAGTGTCTGTGCTACTGGTGTTATGTTCAGGAAGTGGTCTCCTGTACCAATTAATTCAAGGGTATTTCCCACTTTGTCTTCTAATAGGTTCAGTGTGGCTGGGTTTATGTTGAGGTCTTTGATCCATTTTGACTTAAGTTTTGTGCAGGGTGAAAGGCTTGGGTCTATCTGTAGTCTTCTACATGTTTACATCCAGTTATGCCAGCACCATTTGTTGAAGATGTTCTCTTTGTTCCAGTGTATATATTTGGATTGCTTGTCAAAAATCAGGTGTTCGTAGGTGTGTGGGTTAATATCAGGGTTTTCAATTCTATTCCATTGGTCTGCCTGTCTGTTTTTGTGCCAATACCAAGCTGTCTAAAACAGATTTTAAATGGTGATTGTGTGACTAAGGTCAGTTTAGCTCATTCAGTCACTCATTCATTCATTCATTCAAATACAACAGGTATGATAGTTATCTATGGAGATAACATATTGAACTTGACAAAGTCACAGACTTTGAGGATGCAAAAGATAGGATAAAACAAAAAAATTAATATGAGTGCTTGTGTCTTTGGTTTG